TTAAGTTCAAGGGTACTTGCACGGGATATGCAAGTTTGTTACATAGGTAAATGTGTGCCACGGTAATTTATTGCACAGATCATCACATCACCCCAGTATTAAGTCCAGCATCCACAAACTGTTCTTCATGATATTCTCCCTCCTCCCACCCCCGCACTCCAGTAGACCCCAGTGTATGATGCTTCTCCCATATGTCCATGTGTTTTCTCATTTAGCTTTCACTTATAAGTGAGAAAATCTGGTATTTGGTTTTCCATTCCTCGTTAGTTCACTAAGTATAATGGCCACCGCCGCCATTCGTGTCCCTGCCAAGGACATGATCTCACTCTTTTATAGTTGCATAGTATTCCATGGTATATATGTACCCCATTTTCTTGATCCAGTTTATCACTGATGGGATGGACATATTAGATATCACAAAGACACTTGGTACTTGCTGTGGGAAATACTGCACTGTAGTGGGGCAGACAGACAAACAGAAGAGCAGTTGAAGTGCAGAGGAGAAACACAGGAAGGGGAACCAGAGGAATAAAAAACAATTAATGTAGTGGCCATGAGGCAGAAGCAAATAATACAACTTTTTTTAAAAGAGAATCTTTATCCATTGCCTTTACCCCTTTTCTGAAAATCAGCTTATTATGTTTGTGAGTCTGTTGCTGGACTCTATTTTCATTTGTTGATTTTTTCCCTATACCACACTGTCTTGAACACTGGAGAAGTAACACAATTGCCATGTGGGGCTGAATGATTAAAAATCATAATAAATAGCTTCATACAATGCTCCTAACACTAGGTAGCGCCCTTACCTCAGCTGAGGATCCCATGCCTCCCACCCTCTCATGGGCTTTGCTCCTGCATGATCACTCCTCTCTCTTGAACCATCAACAGCTCCCTCTATATGGGATCAATACCCAATCCAAGGGGGATCTCACCTTCTTGCAATTCATTGGTAAGATAATAAATAAATAAAGTAGAATTAATGTCAATCTTGACATCACGTAGGCTGAATTCCCCAAAGTTTTGGATATTCTGGTTCAATTTCCTTTGCAGATAATTTTGAAAATGGACAGTAATGAAGTGTGTTGCATAAGTTCGTGTTGTTTTCCTCTGCCAGACAGTTGATCAATGTGTTAGTAGCTACAGAAGGACATGAGGGAAGGTGAGTTTTCCCTTAGTTTGAGAAATGATCCAATTCAGATGGAGCAGTTGATGGTTCAGGCAGCATGAGTGATCATTGTAGGAGCAAAGCCCATGACAAGGTGGGAGGCATGGTATACTGACTCGAGTGAGGGGGCTGGCTTGAGTTAGGAGTGTTGTATGAAGAAGGGCAGCAGAGAGTGTCCATGAATCACCGAAGGTGAGGGTGACCTTGGGGGTCCCTGACACAGGGGCAGCAACAGTGTGATTCTCCAGCAGGACCCTGACTCACTGAAATATGGTGAAAGCTTTCTTTGAATAAAGGAAGAGTCAAGGCATAGAGATGATGAATTTGTCAATCCTGGGAGACTATGGATTTCATTATAGTATGAAGCAATAGCCGAGCTGTTGTCTATTATGAAAAATACATGTACTCACAACCTTTAAAAAGCACACAGGTGTGAATTAATTGAGTCTACAGCATGTATAAAAAGCATGTATAAATATTGACAGAGATGGAAGGATCACTTGAAGCCATGAGTTTGAAAGCAGCCTGAGCAACACATTGACACCCCGCATCTAAAAATATATATATATTAAATACATTAGTTGGGTGTTGTGGTGGTCACCTGCCCTCTCAGCTACACGGAAAGTTACAGTGTGAGGAGGATTGCTTGAGCCCAAGAGGTGGAGGCTGCAGTGAAGCATGGTCATACCACTGCCCTCCACCCTGGGCAACAGAAAAATATCCTGAGAAAAAAAAAAGCATGTGTAAATGTAGACAAAAAAATTATTTATTTCTGTCACAAAAAGTCTTTCTAAGACACACTCCCTACTAAGGGTGACATACAACTCTGTGTTCTCAACGTTTCTGAATCCATGACAATGGGTGGGCAAGAGACAAGTGTCTCGCATCCCTTCCTTTCTACTACAAACAACCTGGGATTCCGTGAGGGAACAGTGGGAAAACCCTGGCCAGACCTGCATGTGCCTGATTGAGTGTGCATGCCCCTTGCTGCACAGGTCCCTTTGTGGACATGCGCTTCGTCTGTCTGCCTTCTGTCTCTGCAGAGCTGTGCGAGGAGACGTAGTGACTTCCTTCTGCGGTGCCCACTAGGACTCACCCAGTAGGTTCGCAGACCAGTCCTCCCAGCGCTGAAGTGTGAGAGAGTGTGAGGAGGAGCCCGTGGGCGCGGTCCACGGCTTCCTAGGGGAAAGGACCTTGCGGTCCCTGTCCTTCTCCTAACAGGCCGAGATGCAGCATTGTCCTTGCTGTAGTGGGGGTCCTGGACAGGGAAGGCAGCAGGTCCATAGGGCAGAAGACGGCCTCGTGAACATAGAGTGGGTTTTCAAGGGGAAACTCTTTGTGGTATTCGAGTCCCGGAGGCACAGGAAACCACCCACGAGGACACATTCTGAAGTCCTCAGTGGGGACCTGGGACAGGGCGCAGAACTGTTGGGTGCAGGTGGGTTGGTGCAGTCTGGACACGGCAGGGCACGGCGAGGAGGCGGGGCCACAGCCCACAAGCGGGCACCAACCTCACTGCGCATGCTCTTGGTGCCGCCACCTGCGTGCGCATGTTCACTGGGCGTCTTCCCATTGGCCTCTTCGCCACGTGGTGAACGTCGCGGAGCTGTGAGGGTGTTAGGGTTACTTCACTGCGGTCCAGATCCTTTCTACCACTACTGAGACTCAGCCGGTAGGTCCGCAGACCAGTCCTCGCAGTAGTGGAAGTGTGCGTGAGTGTGAGGACAAGCTTGTGGCTTTCCAGGGCATGGGGCAGTGTGGTCAGTGGCCTCCCACGTAAAGAATCTTGAGGTGATAGTCCACGTCATGCCGGGGCGCCATCTTGGGCCTTGTGGTGGGTTCCGAACGAGGGAGGAAGTTGGGCTGTGGAGTTGTGGGGTCAAGGGAAGATGGGGAGACCGCTAGGGGTGCCTTTGGAGGCATCCAAGTCTTGAAAGGGCCTGGAACCCCGGAGAGACGACATATTCCAGACTCCTTCCTAAGGACTCGGGAAAGGGCTGGGTGGGAGGTAAAGAGAGTGTCTGGAACACAGTGCTTTAGAGGCGGCCGCTGACAGCTATATAGAGCGCTTGGCACAGGTGTCCAGTGAGGAGCGCCCAGGGTTTCGTCTCAATTTCTCAGCTCTACGGTGGAGGTCCGAATGGGCGGGACCCTGTGTTCCAACAAAACTTGATTTTAGGTGGGAAATGGGCCTAGCAGATGTGTGTGTGACAAAAGCCGTGGTCACTGCAGTTTTAATTCACCAGCTGTATTTTTCTAAAGATCTCCACGATGAAGAGTCCAGTTGTGGAACCAACCTCATCGACAATAAGCCTGTGTCATTGGCCAGGAGCCTTAAGACATTGCTTAGGTCGCTTGACCAATTGAAGGGAGTGTGCAAGCATTCGATTCAGAAGGCACACACACTCACTTGCCCCGGGACTTACTTTCAGAGTATTACCAAATTGTTTGTAAAAATTGCAAGTTGACATTTCACTATGGAAGTGGTCAAATATACCTACCCTGTCAAGTGTATTTTCCCAATCACAGCTTTCTGTTTGCATTGTGAAATATGAGTTGACAAGGAAGATCAAGATAGGCCTAGACCAAGACGATATGTACAATGGATTCAGCCGGTTAGGCCCACAGGCTGATCCTACTGGAAGTTGAAGTGTGAGTGAGGGTGAGGAGGACACAGCAGGCTTCTGAGGGTCCGGCCTCTGGGTCAGTGACTCTGAGGGAGGAGCGCCTTGAAGCTGTCATCCTTCTCATAGGGTTCCCTGGCTATGGGCCTTCCTGTGTTGTCAGAGTCACAACAAACTAAGAAGAAGGGCCTTGGAGTGGGCGGCAGGGGCGGAGGATGACAGATAGGTGAAGCTGTGGCGATGCTGGGGTGCTGTTTTCAGTATCCAAGTCCCAGAGATGCCTGGAACCGCTAACAGAGGACAGATTCCATAGTCCTCAAGGGGGATCAGGGCTGCGACAGTGTGGGCAGTAAGGAAGGGGCCTGGAAAGTGGGAACACTCTGGGCTGGTGTTTGCAGCCCCAGGGTTTGTGTAGCGAATCTCAGAGGAGCAAGCCCGGTGAGGACCCCCCAACAATTGTGTGGCAACTTCTCAACTCTGTCTTGGAAGTTCGAGTGGGTGGGCGGAGCTCTCCATTCCAACAAAACTTCATTTTGGAAGGGAAGTGGGCCTAGCAAATGGGTGTGTGACAAAAGCCATGGACACTTTAATTTTAACCCTCAAGCTGTATTTTCTTAAATGTCTCACTAATAAGAGACCAGTTATGAAACAAAACCTCATTGGAAATACCGTGTGTCTCTTGCCATGAGCTCTAAGGCATTGCTCAGCCAGCTTGATAAACTTATGGTTGTGCAAGTATTCAACTCAGAAGGCATACACACTTATACATGCCCTCTGACTGACTTTTCAATGTATTATCAAATTTTTAAAAATTGCAAGTTAACGTATGGCCTTGGAAGTGCTCAAATATAGTATCCTCTCACATGCGTTTTTCCAATCACAGTATTCTGGGGTTTTTTGTTTTTGTTTTTGTTTGGCTTGGTTAGATTTTTTTGAGACGGAGTTTTGCTTTTATCGCCCAGGCTGGAATGCAATGTCGCAATCTCGGCTGCCTGCATCCCTCGCCTCTGGACTTCAAGTGATTCTCCTGCCTCTGACTCCCTATTTGCTGGGATTACAGGCACCTGCCAGCAAGCCTGGCTAAGTTTCTGTATTTTTAGTAGAGACGGGGCTTCACCATGTTGTCCAGACTGGCCTTGAACTCCTGACCTCAGGTCATCCACCCGCTTCAGCCTCCTAAAGTGCACACTGTTCTATTTGCAGAGTGAAATATGAGTGGGCGAGAAAGAAAACATAGACCACTACGACATGTCCGACTTGTTCAGCTGACCCGGCCTGCCGTGAGTGACTTAACATTTGATGTTTTCTATTAGCAGAATTTTGTTGTTGTTGTTGTTGTTGTTGTTGTTGTATTGTTGTAGAATTGGTTTATATATACAGATGAAGTTCTCCCATGTTGATAAAAAGTGATGATGGCAGCTCATGGAGGAAAGAGTAGCCCAGAGGACTACACACTAGTTTTGTCTGTATGTGTGATCTTGTGTTCCCCAGATTTGACTGGTGATTTCCTCCTCAAGCTTATTTATAGCACATTGTACACATTCAACTCAACGTAAATTAAAAAGGCTTCCAAGGCCATTGAGGGTAACAATCTTAGAGTTATCTCTCTGTGGGAAGAGTGACTTTATGAAGAATAAGTATGTGGAATAGTGTTGGGATAGTGTTGGGGCACGTTTTTAAACGTGTATGATCAGAAGTATCTATGTAATGTGTATATTCATATTATTGGTATGCATTGATAAGAAATTTTCTTTATCTGCACACACACACACACACACACACACACACACACACACACCTTTTCCCAGGAGCCCAGTGAGCCAAAGCCTCAACGAGAAGAACTACCAGCTGAAAGTCAGGATCATACACCTGGTCAGAAGAGAGAAGAATATCAGGGTGGAGCTGAGATTCAAGGTGCTTCAAAAGGTAAGAAAGAATGTGTATGGGGGGAGGAGGCCTATGTGTGCATCATGTCTTATGCCATGACCAGTAACAGGAGGAAACAAAACATTATGAAAAAATCTCAAACATTTATTGAGTGTTGGCTAGAAATACGATGGCTATAGTTTGTAGCTTCCTTCAGTCCCTGGGTGTGATGAATCTCTTTTTCTTCAATATGTATTTCATATGCTTGAAAATACACTCCTTCCTAAATCAGATGAAACCATTTAACTGGTTGTATGAAAATGTACGTTACTGCACTAATTTAGTTTGATCTTGTTAGGATGTTGCAGTGAGATCTTCTCAGTCATGGTGTCCACAGTGTTGTAAGCACGTTAATAGTACGTGGTGTGCCAAGTCACCCTACCTTATAACACCCTGAATAAAGCCCATTTGCAAAGGGATGTTAGCCTCATTTTATAAATAAGAAAACGGCGGCCAGGCGCAGTGTCTCACGCATGTAATCCCAGCATTCTGGGAGGCTGAGGCAGACAGATCACCTGAGGTCAGGTGTCTGAGAACAGCCTGGCCAATATGGTGAAAACCCATCTCTACTAAGAATCCAAAATGTAGCTGGGCATTATGGCACATGTCCGTAATTCCAGCTAAGCCTGCTGAGACAGGAGAATCGCTTGAGCCCAGGTGGAGGAGGTCGCAGTGAAGCGAGATCACACCACTGCATTCCAGCCTGGGAGACAGAGTGAGACTAGGTCTCTAAATAAATAAATAAATAAGAAAACTGAGGCTCAGAGATTGAGACTTACTAAGAACACTTGACTTACAGAGAAAGAATTTATATTTTGTTCCAAGGTTTGCATTCTTCCCACCATCTATGTTAGAAAATGTGAATGATTTTGCTTAAAAATGCGTAATACTCAAATGTGTCTGTACTGTAACATAGTTCAGTATTGGCTCAGGACTAAATGCAGTTCAGTGAAGCAGGATAGCAACCCCAGAAAAGAGGCCAATGCATGACAACCACTGTTTCCTTTGGTGTGTATTTTTGACAGTATGTTTGGTAAAAGGTGGATAATTCAGGGCACTGGCCTACAGGTAACTATATTAGTAGGATTTTGAAGGGGCTTTTCAAAGTCATTTCACTATTTTTATAATTAGAAAACTCGAAGTCTGATAAGATTATCATGAAACAAATTGTTTCCTCAACAGAGAGTGTTTTCAAAATGAAGACAGACAGAATTTGGGCCATGGATTATTTTAGCAATTCCTTGTTAAAGGAGTTCCAGAATATGACTAATCAACAATGCCCATTAATTTCTCTGCACTTCAGTCACCGTACTCTCATTGGAAGACAGTAATTTTGCTGTTGTATTTCATACATTTTCTTAATGACATTCATGTATGGAAAGTCACATATAGAGCCTTTGAACCTAAGCATTCCTTTAAGTTTAACCCCAGCATTTTCAAGGTACCTCAACAGGGGATGAGAGTCATGACTATAAGATATGTCATAGGCCCACCAGTACACTGATGTACTCCTTCAGAAAGTTACATTTAAGTTTTAATTAAAATGCCATCCTTGGGGCAGTCTTCAGATTTCCTAGGTAGCTGTGTGTTGATAATAAACAATGGTAAAGTATGGGAAATGTAGGTATGGTGTGATTGATCCTCAGATTGTCACTTAAGATAAGATATCATAATACAGGAAGGCAAAGGTGGGACATCTTTGCGTCACATTTGCATCACAGTAGCCTACAGGCTTTTATTTCATAACACTGAGGAAAAGAATAGGATTATTTCCTTATTTATCATTCTTGTTTGGGTAATCCAATCTGTATCCTTCGTATTTTTTAGTGCCTGACCTGGAAGCTGATCTCCAGGAGCTGTCTCAGTCAAAGACTGGGGATGAATGTGGAGATGGTCCTGTGGTCCAGGGAAAGAGTGTACCAAAATCAGAGCAGTGCAAAATGCCAGAAGGAGGTATGTTATCCATTAAGATTCAAAATTACGTGCTTTTTGTATTACACGATATTTTACTTTTGATAATAAAAAGAGCATTACTGCCCCTGGAGAAGCAGCGTTCAAATGCAGACTTTCTTTGGAAGGTAGTTCAGACCCAGAAGCCTGACTGCAAAACTGAAACGCTATCAGATACAGACAGAAATTGGATCAAAGCCATATTGAATCATCAAATGGAAAAGCTGAGTATAACTAACAGCTAACACTTTTCTGATTATTTTCTAATTTCTCCTTTTGTCAAATGCATAATACATTTATAATACCACCTTGTATGAGATAAGCTGACCCCCAAGGAGATTCTAGTGCCAGCTCTAACATAATTTGTGAGATTCTGGACAAATCACATAAATCCTACACCCATTTTTGCTTTTATTGAAACTAATGAATGCATATCAGATAGATTAAAATCCATTTCAGTGCTGCCTTCTGCATGCTCTGGTTCTGTTGGGGAGAATACAAAGATATTCTCATTTTCATGATTTGTTTATCATAACAATCAGCTTCAGTCCAATCATAATATCTGAGTTGACATTTTATTGCTCCCAAGAAAATGAACCAGCACTCTGCTTGATGTTTGTTTTCCTATATGGAGACCTTCATGAGTGTTCTTGGATTTTGTCAAATCTTGAATTTTCTTAGGCTCGTAAGCAGTGATTGCATTTTTTTTTTCACACAGAGTCTTGCTCTGTCACCCAAGCTGGAGTGCAGTGGTCCGATCTTTGTTCACTGCAACCTCCACCTCCCGGGTTCAAGCAATTCTCATGCCTCAGCCTCCTATGTAGCTGGGAATGCAGGTGTTTGCAACCGTGCCTAATTTTCGTATTTTTAGTAGAGACGGGGTTTCACTATGTTGGCCAGGCTGGGCTCAAATTCCTGATCTCAGGTGATCCACCAGCCCCGGACTCCCAAAGTGCTGAGATTATAGGCATGAGCCACCTCCCTTGCTGAACCCAGTGATTGCATTTTAAAGTCTTCCCACAGTAAAGCCTTGAATGACTGAATAATAAAATGGAAAGAGACGGTCATGTTTTGTGGCCCATGAAGTAGGGATCATGCATGAAGGTCAGTGATGCTCAAGCTGGTTATAAGATGCCTGTGCTAGGCATGATCCCTTCCCTCCTGTCAGTCTTCATGAGCTACTGTGTGTAATTAGATTGAAGACACACATGGTAACCTCTAACCATATCAGAGGTTATATATTATAGGTTTCTGCCTTGAGTCTTCAAATGATAAGGCTTAAAGTTCAAAGACTATAACGTACTAAGTCCTGAGTAGTCTACAGAAGTATCTATTACACATATTTTCCAAATTGCTGACTTAATTAGAAGAACAACTGAATTTAAAGGAAGCACTACATGTTTAAGGGAGAAATTACCTGAATGTTTGTACTCCACACTGCTGAACAACTCCATTAGACTATTTACATTAAAAGAATGTTTTCAAAAAAATTCCAGGAGCCTATTGAACAAGCCTCAGTTGGATTCTTAGGACAGTCATAGCATTAAATGTATATCTTATTAAAATAGACAGCTACTTACATGGTACAAGAAAATGATATTGAGGAATAAATAATAAATGAGTTACCAAATAAACATAAGGGAAAAGGAAACAGGCAGTAAATGAAAGGTACAACTCATTAACAAAAGGAAAACTAGTCCAAAAGTAATAAATTTAACAGATTGTTTTTGGGAAATAGCTAGGAAGGGAGAATTCAGTAAACAATCTTGAAGAAAACGGAAAAGGCACAACATAGAATATGAATAAGACACAGGTATTGAATGTAGGGCATAATTGAAAGGGAATACATTTCTTGAACACTAATATTTTCCGAGTGTGTGGATCTAATGGTTGATATGCCAGGAATGCCTACATTTAATAGGTCCCTGTAATATCTGAATATCTGAACATCACAAAGACTGTGGAAGAACTTGTGAAATTTGCCAGCTGTCCCTCAAAAATAGTTAATTTTAGCTTCTCCAGATGTCTTACTCTCCGTTTTCATTTCCCTGTCCATTTTTCCCCACTAGTTATGATGTATATCTCTTTCACATTTTGATATCAATCATGATAGTGATACCTTAAAACTTATATAATCATTTAATTAATTATACAAACCAGAATACTTTCTGGTGAAAAATGTGTCATTCATATTGACATGAGAACTATAGGTGAAAACTAGATAAAAATGATTAGTGTATGTTAAAAAGGAACAAAGAAGGGTAAACTAGCTCAAAGCAATATTATTGCACTTCTGCACAATAGTGAAAAAACAAACACAAAACTGTCCTTTCTGTTCATTTCATTTGTGTATTTCCTAATGTGACATTAACTGTTTTCTCACAAGATAGTTTTCAGACGATTTGCAGGAGCCTATTGGACATCCAGGCCACAGTTTCAAGCCAAAACGTTAAGTTACACATTTTTTCTGAAGGAATTTTTTCAGAAATTCCTTCTGTTTCTTAGGTTTTTTTGTGTGTTCTGGTTGCATTTTGAGTAAAAGTCTACACAGTGTTTGCTATCTTCTTCAAACCTCTTTTAACAGGTTCACTTGATTTAAGGGATTGTGAGCCTGGACTACCGTTTGGTTTCCTTCTAGCACTAAAAGCAGGGTATGTTTTTTAAATATTGCTAATGTATATTGTGCTTGGAAGTGTATCTTCAAGGTCTCTACAGAGGTCTCGTTAAATGTTAGCCATAGGGGACACAGGCTTCTGGTTTTAGTCCATTCTATAAAACTAAAACTTTGGTGTCCTTTGCATACCTTTAATTTCATCTGAATACAGTTAAGCTAGTAATGTTCCCTCCTGTTATGTTTCTGTTGTAGGGAAGGGGAAACCACAGGATTAAAGGAAGACAAGCTGAAAGAATGCAAACTGAATTCATCCGAGATACACCATGGAACATTATGCAGCCATCAAAAACAATGAGTTCGTGTCCTTTGTAGGGACATGGATGAATCTGGAAACCATCATTCTCAGCAAACTGACACAAGAGCAGAAAATCAAACACTGCATGTTCTCATTCATAGGCAGGTGTTGAACAATGAGAACACATGGACACAGGGAGGGGAGCACTACACACTGGGGTCCGTTGGGGGGAAATGGGGGAGGGATGGGGGGGTGGGGAGGTGGGAAGAGATAGCATGGGGAGAAATGCCAGATATAGGTGAAGGGGAAGGAAGACAGCAAACCACACTGCCATGAGTGTACCTATGCAACAATCTTGCATGTTCTTCACATGTACCCCAAAACCTAAAATGCAATTTAAAAAAATTTAAAAAACTCAATAAATCTTTCCAGTTTTCTCCAAAGAAGTATTTCACATCTTTTGTTCATTTATTCTCATGTATTAGACACTCTTGGAATTTTGGGCCAGATGCAGTGGCTAACGCCTGTAGTCCAAGCACATTGGGATGTAGAGACAGGAGGATTGCTTACGCTTGGAAGATTGAGACGTGCCTGGGCGACATGAAAAAAATCCCTCTCAACAAAAATAAATGAATGAATGCATGAATGTATGCATGTATGTATGTAGGTGCAGTCCCAGCTACTCTGGAGCCTGAGGTGGGATAATCCCTTGAGTCTAGGAGGTTGACGATGCAGGTAGTAATATTTACGCCACTGCAGCTCCAGCCTGGGTGAATAAAAAATAGTATCATTTTTGCAACTTTGCGTTCTGATTGAGCTGGTATACGCACGTGTGATATTGTGAAATATATATTTGGTCCTGGACCCTGCTTACTGTCATACAACTACAGTTTTTAGAATCTTCACACAGTGATTTTTTTTGTATGCTAGTGAGTTGACTGATGGCTGGTAGCTCCAAGGTAGCTCTAGAATAGAGGATTAGAGGGTCGGGACTTGCAGCCCCATCCCCAACCTTCAGGACAAGGAGAGGGGCTGAGGTTAAGCTGATTTTCAATGCTGAGGCAACAGTTTAATCAGTCATGCCTATATGATGAAAACTTCCCTCAAAACCCAAAAGGACAGAGTTCCGAGGACTTCCGCCTAGCTGAACACATGGAAAGTATCATGTCCACAGAGGCCTTGGAATCCACCTGCCTCTTCCGTCATTTCTTTCCCTGTGTATTGCTTTATCTTCATCCTTTGTTAGGATATCCCATTTGCCACAAAATGCGTGAGAATTCCCTAGGATATAGACCTGGATGATAGAACTATGGCCTAGAAGAAAGGGGAAAGCAACCAGGGAACCTTGCTGAAGCAAAATTTCTTGGATTCCACCTACACTGTCTCCTTACAGGCTATGGCATGACACAGCCATGGGATTCCATCCTGCCTCTCACGCACTGGTTTTGAGATGGTAGGCAAGATATTTACATCCTGTGGGACTGTTTCCCCATTTCTAAAGTAGAAATTAGAGTATTTATACTACTCATTGTGAAGAATAAATGAAGTAACATAGGAAGCAGACGTTACATTGCAGATAAATTTACTAGTTATCATTCCATAATCCCTTTAAAATTTCAAATATTTTCATTCCAACTACATCTCTAGTGTGTAATAAGTGCTTTGGAATTTCAAGTAGGAATATCAAGCTACCTTTATAAATGCCTTTGACTTCAGAAATTTATTTGATTTAAATATGTAAATGAAATACCAGTGTGGTTGGTATCAGACATGGCATGGATTCTGAAGGTGATTTGTAAATAACTGAGGTGTGACAAGGCCAACCCTATGTCAGTAGTATGTGCCGAAAACTTATTTAGTGTGTGTGATGCCATGAAGGATAAGTCTATTCTGGTCAGGCAACACCACACAACTCAATGTCATAGTATGTCAAGAGCTCACGCAGTCCCTAAGCAACCCTGTGGTGACTAACAGGGCCACAAGGATCGCCAGTGCAGCTCTTATTTTGGCTTGTCATATATTCATAAATTTGGCTGCTAAGAAGACTAAGTGCAGTGCTGTGTCTGAGATCCCGGTGCTGAAGACAAATGCCGGACCCCGAGATCGGGAGTTATGGGTGCAGCGACTGAAGGAGGAATATCAGTCCCTTATCCGGTATGTGGAGAATAACAAGAATGCTGACAACGACTGGTTCTGACTGGAGTCCAACAAGGAAGGGACTCGGTGGTTTGGAAAATGCTGGTATATCCATGACCTCCTGAAATACGAGTTTGACATCGAGTTTGACATTCCTATCACATACCCTACTACTGCCCCAGAAATTGCAGTCCCTGAGCTTGATGGAAAGACAGCAAAGATGTACAGGGGTGGAAAAACATGCCTGACGGATCACTTCAAACCTTTGTGGGCCAGGAACGTGCCCAAATTTGGACTAGCTCATCTCATGGCTCTGGGGCTGGGTCCATGGCTGGCAGTGGAAATCCCTGATCTGATTCAGAAGGGCGTCATCCAACACAAAGAGAAATGCAACTAATGAAGGATCAAGCCACTGAGGCAGGGCAGAGGGACCTTTGATAGGCTATGATCCTGTTTTCCTATGCATCACACTTAACTCACCTAACTGCTTCCCCCAACACCCTCCACCTCTAGTTGTTACTAAGTAGCTGCAGCAGGCATTGCTGGGGGAGAAGCAAACACCAAACAGTATCGCTACTTAGTTTCTAAGGCTGCTCAGGGAAGGGAAGGACTGGGCTTTGGAAAATCTAGAGGCAATTTATATCTGCTCCTGGTGGAGCAACATGCGATTCTGGAGGCATAGGGAGTAACTGAAAGTGAGTACATAGTCTTTCTGGTTTCTGGAGATAACTCATCAATAAAAGCTGCTGGTCCCCTGGTTAAAAAAAAAAAAAAAAAAAAAAAAAAGACTAAGTGCAAATGGAATGAAGTGGTTGATTAATTACAGATGCAGCAAAGGCAAGATCAGCATTGTGTCAGTGCTGTGTCCCTAGACCCACAGTACAACACTGAATCAGAGATACTCGGTGACAGCACAGATGGTGGGTTTCTCTGCCTGTGAGGAGCCCACAGTCTTACACCAAGGACAATTTTGAAACCACACTGAATCCTGAACCCAAGATTATACCTGATCGAGTTGTAACGATGGGACAGCAGAGGCAACCCAGCTCCCAAACATCCCACACAGAACACCTAGGAATGTCATCCACTCTTGTGAAGAAGAGGAACCTGTGTCAATGACTATTCTGAAATGACTGCCTTCTGACAGTTCCCCTAAACAGAAAAGGCAAATCGATTGTTTGGACTGGACGAGAAACCTTAGAGGGAAAGGTCCCTCAGAAGGAGGCCACACTGGGGGCCTTGGCCAGCTCCTCCCTGACGACTGTCGTCCTATTGGGTTTGCCCTAACAAGGGTAAAATCTTGGTGTCCAGGGGTATCACCTGTGCCCTCTGGGATTGTTCTTACATATACACCTTGACTATCGTATCACTGCCTCATCCCAGGAAGGGATTCGCGTCAGCTTCAGATTCAGATTCCTGACCAGAGTTGTGCTAAGCCTGAGTTGTGCTGTGCTTGGGGTGGATAAAAATGGTTACTACAGAATCTTAGGAAGTCACCTGTCTTGGTCAGATAGACCTTCATCATTATTAGGGTTTGTATAAGGTGGCCATGATAGGAAATCTAAAGTGTCAACTTTGCTAGGCCACGATGCCTGAGAAATGTTCACTTTGACCAGGGTAGATGTCTCCTTAAAGGATTTTCTTTACTTGAGAATTTAAATTTAAATCAGCAGACTTTGGGTAAACCTAATTGCCCTCCCCAACGTGGGTGGGCCTCATCCAGTCCCTTGAAGGCCTTCAGAGAAGAAGACTGGAGTCCTCCTCAAGATGAAGAAATTCTGCCTCCACACTCCCCTTGGATTTGAGATCTCATATCACCTCTGCCACGAGTCTTCAGCCTCACCTCCTGCTCTCGGAGATTCAGACTTGTCAGTTGCAAATCTTCCATGAGCTAGGTCTTCAAACTCAATGTCTCCCTCTCTCTCTCTCTCTCTCTCTCTCTCTCTCTCTCTCTCTCTCTGTCTCCACCCACTCACACACACACATGCACACATGCACACACAGTGAAGAACCCTAACCAATAGGCTGCTTACATCTGGGACCCTTAAAGGACATAACTGAGATCAGTACTGCAGGTTGCCCTCACTCTGCTGCACGGCTCCTGATGCAGAGGCCCGTGGCATTCCCTTCCCATCCACTGACATCCATGTTACTCATCACTGTGACTCAGGGTTTGCTCATCCAATAATGTAGAGATCACTAGAGTTCCACAAGTGTTCCCTGCTCTCCTCCTGGCTGTGAGATCCTCTGTTCTATTCTGAGAACACAGAGAACTACTGGGTTTGTTTCCAACCTTCCAGGAAGGACCTGGGAGCCTGGTGAGGGAGATACACCTGCAACAGCAGTAACAGCAACGGGCACAGCCAGTGTGTTCACCAACTCAGGAGAGATCACATTACCAACATCTCCCACTTAAGTTTCCCCATCAACTAACAGCTTATCCTGGAAGTGATCATGTTCGTAGGTCAGTTGGATTTCCCTTATTCTGTTTTCCCCAGGAATGCACAGATGCAAAGCAAACTGATACTGGAATGTTCTGTTGAAGTGCAATCCACGAATGGAATGCCCTGCAGCGGTATGATTTCCAAAGTAGTCAATAAGGCATTCTAAGTTCTCAGATGAAGCAATATACAGGTCTCCCTCAGTTTGTAGAGAGTGACAAGTATGGAAAATCCAGGTTATTGAAGACTCTGGAAAAATATGCTTGCTTTCCTGTAACACTCAGTCCCCAAATGGAAGTAGCCCCTACTACTTGCATTCCAACAACTGCAGCAGCCCCTACAAATTTCCAAAACGCCCCAAAGTGGGTGAAGATATTATGGCCATAAACCACAGTTTAGGATTGAAAAGAAGTATCCTCAAACTTCTTATTTACATCAAAAGAATAAGAATGTTGCAGTTGGTACAGAGGAAATAGCAGGGTGGCATGGAGAAGGACACAGTGTTCCCCAGGAGGGCTTGCAGGCACCTTCCTCCTCTGTCCTGCTTTCTGTGATGAGAAAGTGGTTCACGGATTGGCGAGGTGGCTCCTGCCTCTAATCTCAGCACATTGAGAGTTCGAGGCGTGAGTGTTGCTTGAACCCAGAGTTTCAGATCAGCCTGGGAAACATAAGGACACCCCACCTCTTAAAAAAAAAATTGGCCAGGGGTGGTGGAGCCTGCATGTTGTCCCAGCTACTTGGGAGACTGAGATGGAAGGATCCCATGAGCCTGGGTGGTCAAGGCTGCAGTGAGTCATGATTTCTCCACTGTACTCCGGGCTGAGCAGCAGACCCCATCTGAAACAGCAAAAGGTAGTTTGGGGCCAGCTGGGGTGAGCAGTGAAGCTTATCTCAGAAAAGATCTGTTGCTAGGTAAGTTGGATTCCCCTCATTGTTTCCCCCAGGCATGAAGAGCTACGAAGCAAACTGATACTGGAATGTTGGGTTAGAGTGGGATCCAAGAATGGAATGGCCTGCGGTGATGTGATTTTCCAAAGCAGTCGATAAGTCTTTCATAACTTCCCAGATAATGCAACAGTTTACAAGGAAGTAATATGTATGGAAAATCCAGTTTATTGGAAACTCTGGAAAGAGATGTTTGCCTCCCTGTAACACGCAGTCCCCAAATGCCAGTAGCCCCTACCAATTATTCCAACAACCACAACTGCACCCGGAAACATCGAAAATGTCTCAAAGTAGGCAATGATATTCTGGCTATAAACCACAAGCTTAGAATTGAAAATAAGTATCCTCACACTTCTTATTTACATCAAAAGAATGGGAATGTTGCATTCAGTATAAGGGAAATGACACAGCACGAAGGAGGAGGACACAACGTTTTTAAGGAGGTGTTACAGGCACCTTCCTCTTCTGTCTCACGTTGCTTTCTGTGATTAAAAAAAAAAAAAAAGTCGTTCAGGGATAAGCATGGTGCCTCATGCCAGACTGGGGAACATAGGGAGACCCCGTCTTGATAAAAAATAAAAAAGAAAAAAGAAAAATAAAAAAAATTTAACAGGCCGGGCGCGGTGGCTCAAGCCTGTAATCCCAGCACTTTGGGAGGCCGAGGCGGGTGGATCACGAGGTCAAGAGATTGAGACCATCCTGGTCAACATGGTGAAACCCCGTCTCTACTAAAAATACAAAAAAAAAAAAAAATTTAACAGCCAGGCATGGTGGAGAGTGTCTGAGGTCCCAGCTACTTGGGATGCTGAGATGGAAACATCACTTGAGCCATGCTTTCTCCATTGCACTCCAGGCTGAGCAACAGAGTGAGACCCCATGGCAAATAAAACCAAAATAAAAGAAACTGTTTAAGGGCCAGCAGGGGTGTGTGGAGAAGCTTCATTTCCAAGGTCAATCACTGACATGGGACGTTGATGGTCAGGATGTTTCTGCGGTAGTTACGGCTCTCAGATCCTGGGACTGATGTCTTTCTCAGTGAGGACAGCCCTCTCCAGGCTGGGTCACAGGAGGAAAGGGCCACAGAGGTGTCTGTTAGTGAAGGGCAGACATTGGCCCTACACCTCGACATTGCTCTAGGCTCCCATGGAAGGATAAGATGGTGCCAGAGAGACTCCAGGGCTGGTGGGAGGAGCAGAACAGCTGGTATCACCTCTCATCCTACGTGTTCAATGGTCCCTGAGAGGAGCGCATGCAATTTTAGGATCTAAAAGGTGGTTTTCTGACATTCCCTCTATTCACCACCCATGAAGAGAAGGGATTTGAGATAAACTGAGGCCTCCAGGGAGAAAGGCCAGATGGAGTTGTGAGGCCTTCTCAAAAGTCCCTCTGCCATACCCTTACGGTGAGTCTCACACAGAGTTCATCATGTCCTGTGTTTCTGTGTGCTCTGAAGTCACTCTTCCCAACATCATGTCTGTCCTGGGAAGAGTAGGTATATTGCAGACAGTTTTGCTACCTAAGGGATTCAATAAGGTTTCTGAAAGTTCCCTAGGCTGGGAAGTTACGGTCCCAGATCCTGGGGCATCATTCTTGCCACACTGCATGAGATTCACAGGGTGCGAATCGTGAAATCTTCACCTTTAAATGATCCCGTGTTCCAATTTTCATGGAACTGTTCCTATTTCAGGGGACTAGTCTCCTTTCCCAGCCACACAGTTTCTTTCTCCTTTGTGAAGGTGTAGAAGGGACAGGTTTGGTGTGTTCTCTGATGTACAAACCCAAGACCTTCAGGTGAGGAGACCAACACTGACATGCTGCCTGTTACGGTAATGACACACTCAGGACACCGTCTCCAGATGATACCCAGGCCAATCCTTTCAAGTCTCCATCTCTTAAATATTGCTGAAGAAACCCAATGTCTCTTGCCTGTGTGGTCTCGTGCTATAAAATTCTAAATATTTTGCAATAGCCTTTAGCTCTTATCCTTGATTGCACAATTATGCAGCACAGTAGAGTTTTTCATGATGCCTCTGACCTGTGGCTCCATCACTCACTGCTGGGTGACACTAAGAAAGTTACTTAACATCTCTGTAACTCCTTTCTCCATTAGTCCCGTGGAAATACTGCTGGTAAATTAATCTACTTCTTGGCAGGTT